TGGTTGCGTGAGAATGCTTCAGAACTGAGAGTTGGACATCGTGGACTTGACAGAAAGCTTATGAAACACTCTATGTCTCAACTGGGGTTCTGTGAGAGGTTGCTAGCTGATCCATAAGAGATTGTGAAAAAAAACCCAGCATTTTTTAAATGTTGTGCATCATGCAACACTAGCACTTAAAGAGTCGGAGTTTTTATGTGCTGCAATGTAGCTGCTGGCCTGTCCCTTTGCTCGGGGTTCCAAGAGAGATCATGGGGGAAAAAAGTTTTTTGAACTTTGTGTGCCACACAATGCTAACACTCACACTGATGGAATTACGCAGGGGGTCCCTGAGATCTGAACATTATTTCAAGGGTAAGTAACCTCTGGGTAAAAATGTTGAGAAAGGCTGCTCTGTACAAACGGACAACATTTCCTAAGGCATACCTGGAGTAAAGTGATTCCAAAAGTTGGTTTGTTAAAGCCACGAACAGAAGAGGGCACAATTTCTTTGATTCCTTGATAAGGCAATACAAGGCAACAGTTAATAAAATGATTTGGAAGAAGTGCACTTTTTGTTTTTCAGATAAGTACTAAATATTTTTTAAGGACGCTGAGTTGGTTCTTAAAGCACTAGAAGTCAGTTGACAATGAACAAACTGAACGGAATTCTTCAGCACCCCTCAGCTTTGAACACTGATTCTACTCCATGCTAACTACTAGTTTCAAAATACAATTTCTGATACCTGGAGAAGTAAATGGTAATCTTCAAAATACATCCCTTATTAAACTATGCTTCAGAAAGTGGTAATTTTTGCTAGAATGGAATAGCTCAATAATGGAATCTCCCCCAGTTTTGTGGGAAACTCTTTTGCAATGCCATTCTCCTTCTTTTATTATTGTAACAATATAACTGAATCAGTCAGTAGAATATTCAGGTTATGCTTCACAACTGCCTTAACTGCCGGCAAGTACTTAAAAATAGGCTGTAGTTAGACTGTTATTGTTCATGGCTCTCTTGTGGTTGCATTTTTGAATGTGTTTTTTTTTTAATGCAACTCTTTGCATAGAAGGAAAAAAAGGTTCCAGAAAGATGGCAGTGGTCTGAAGATAGCAGTAAAAAAATATAGAAATAACAACACTTTCGTACATTTCATCCAACATCATTCCCCTGAGGTGAGATTGGCCCATTCCTGCCAACCTTCTGGAAGTCCCTTAAGACATGGCTATGTCAACAAGCTTGAGGATCTCAGGGAAGTGGAGAACTGGTGAGATGGCTACACTGTACATAATGTCAAGATGCTCTCTCCTAGTCTTTTAAATTAATATTAATGGTTTTGTTATTTTTTATAAGTTTTTATTATGGTATAATTTTTAATGTTTGTTTTTTACAGTCTGTTTTTATTGCACACTGCCCAGAGTCACATATGTGAGATGGGCGCTATATAAATGTGATGAATGAATAAATGACTAAATAGATAAATAACCATTTTAACAAGATAATTCAAATGTTATATGTTTTATCCAAGCAATCCTCAAGATGCCCTGGCAAAGAGGGACTAATAGGGCAAATTCAACATTAGTCAGCTTAGGAAATGCTTAAATTCATCTTGCTGCAAGGGGAGAGACAACAAAACCATCTACGACAGGCCACAATAGAGCTTTCCAAAGGCCACCTGCAATCAACCAACAGGAGCACAAGAGCAACCAGGTGAGGAGAGGAAAGAGGAAGAAGAAAAGTGAGGTTCCTTTCTTTCCATCACCCTTCCCTTAATCTCTTCTCCTGGCAATGCTATCCCATCCAGGCAGAATCAGCTCTTAAGCATCCTGGCTAAAGAAAGTCCTCTCCTGGCCTCTCGATCAGTACTCCCCCTGAAGATTTTTACATCAGATAAGGGTTTTTCATACAAGTTAGAAAATATTGATGGCAACTTTAATTACAGATCAACATTTCTCTTCTATATGCCAAGAGGTGAGGTCAGGAACTAGTTCAAAGCCACTTAGCTAACCCATAGTCAATAGGAATTGCAGGTTAGCTGTGACATGGTTTATTTAAAATCGGGGGCAAACCAGAAAAAGGTCCCAAATCACATACTCTTGCACTCAATAAACATATTTTTGCCTGTTCATTTATTACATGATATGGCATGGAACATATGGAGGAATGGAGTAAAGCCAGGCTCTTTCCCTGCCTCCCTTCACCATTCTCTGCTCCTTTATGCTCTTTTTCTCTTGAAACGTGAAGTGAGTCTTCAGAGAAAAGACATCTCTAACCAGCAGAGTACAGGGTTTAAAGAAGGAAAGGGAAGGCAGGAAATAGGTTATGTTCCACATTCCTCACTTCAAAGGAAACGGAGGGTGTACTTAAACCCATGTTGGCTTGGCTCTTAAGTCCTCTGTCAAGCACCATGGTGACTTGTACAAAAGACTGATACCCACAAATAGATTGCAGTTGCAGTTACTTGCAATTGCAGGTAAGTTCCTTAGAAGTACTATGCTTCAGTGGATTTGATAAGCAGTGCTTTTCAAAATTAGACACCTTTTGTTTGTCTGTACGTCACTACTTTCTTCAGGAGGTGAGGTGCTATCCTCTGGCAGATTTCTTCAAGAATACTCAGGTCAGACTCCTTTAGAAGGCTTTTCTTCTCCAGGGAAGTCAGCAACTCCAGAGCCGACTGGGAGAGAAAAATCAGTGCAGTAGTTATAGCTTTAGATGTGCTTTCTATCCCACTCTGAGTCATCAAGTCTTTCCACATCTTCAGTCAATCTCTGTCATCAACCAAACACAACTTCCTATGTTTCTTCAACCAAAATCAAAACCTCCTAAACAGCACAGGCCTAAGCCAGTCTCTAGAATTTTGCAGACATAGCTTTTCTGGACATGTAGAGTGCATCTCAGAAAATTTCAACCTTCTAAGATTTTCTCAAAATTTGTGTATATTCAGGGGGGCTGTGTGAAGGCCCCTCCCATAGCAGGGGCTAAGGATAGTCCTTCTTGCTCTTGACAACACAACTATAACACTCTTTCCTTAGGGAAATAGATTTGTTTTTAAATCTCATTTAACTTTAGGATTTATTTTATTATTCTTGCTTTAATTAGATTTTTGGCAGGTGTTCTTTTAATGTGTTTGATGTTTATTGTTTGTTTATTAATCTTTGTGTTTACTCACCATAGTAGACTGCTTCTTTGGGAGATGGTCCTTCAGAAGAAAAGCGGCACTTTTCACCTGATCCTTTGTGAGCTCTTCTGCTATTTCATACAGCATCTGTCTGTGTGACAAATCTAAAAATGTAAGCTAATTCTTTTTATTTAAGGTTATACATTCATCCTTAGCACCTGGCCTACCATCTCAATTTAAGCTTCTGCAATTTTGGACAATGAACTGTGATAGTGTTTATTTAGAGATAGGGTCCAAATAAATAAATAAATAAATGATGAAAATGCTTGGTACCCATTCAGAAGGGAGATAATCAATGCTTTTTAAGGAGAAGTTATATTCCTATTTGGAAAACTCACCGATATCCAGATACCTTTCCTCTTTTAGGCTGATGTTCTTGAACAATCTCTTTGGTATAACCAAGTTTCTGGAGCAGAAAGTTACACTTAATCATGTAGAGAAGCTCTGCTATGAGAAAAGTATCATCCCTGTTCACCAAGTCTTTATTGATGAGCAACTGGAAAATATCCTGGGCTGATGTCACTGTTTCCAGCTTCTTTAATGGGATGAAATCAGAACAGAGAAATTTCAGATCTTCTACATCTTCCTTCCCTAAGTTTTCATCAACTGATAGTAGCTGCTGGCGAAATATCACATTGCCGTTGTCAGCCATGAGGAAAGATTTTCTTAGGAGCTAAAATCTCTAAAACAAGGGAAAAGAAATAATGCTAAACTATTAGAAGCAAGGTAGTGGTTAAAAAAAGAGTCCAAGTCCATGGAACATACACACTCACAAATTCTCTTCCAACCAAACAAAAAAAAAGCAAACACTTCTGCACAAAAAATTACTAGTAAGAGCAACAGTTATAGCAAATAACATCAATATAACTAAAATTAAATAATTCAGCAAAGGATCAAATAAGGGGAAGGAGGAGAACAGATAAGCCATATTATTTTTTTTGCAGTGTGGTAACATTACCAAAAGCTAGAACATTTTTGGTTTTGACATACACACACACACACACACACACACACACACACATATATATACTAAAGAAGTCAAATATATCCTATGACTGTTACATTATCAGAGCTTTCCTTCTTAAGGTGTATCTGCTGCAGCAGATGTTATTCCTCAAGGTATTCTCTGGGCATAGCAATAATGCAAGGAATGGCTTCAATTCATTTTTACCTCTGTATTTTTTATGAACTATTTCACTAAAACATTGGTACTGGCATCTATTTGGTTAAGAAGTCATTTTCAAAGATAGCCAACATACAATACATAAAATCCTGTGACATAATTCAACCATTTGTCAAAATAACTAACCATTAAATAGCACCAATTGTGGTTTGAAGTCCCAGCACAACATGAACGCCAATCCACATGAAAGCAAGAATCAGATAGAAAAAGATGCAGGTGAAGAATTGCCTATACAACACCTATAAAATGAACCCATTGTGAGAAGGAGGCCTCCTGCATATTGATCACTGCTTGCTGGTCATAGGAAGTTCTATCTATTTATTCCACAAAGTTAGTTATGATCTTAATCTGATTACATTTTATCGCATTTAAAGATTAAAATAGTCCTCCAAGAATGAATAAAAGTACAAGTCTCAAATAAGAAATTTCTAAACAAAAAGTAGACATTAGTAAGAACAGTATTAAAAATTTAAACATCAGCCACAGTAAAATACATAGTCAAATATATATTTGACAGCCAGTTTGGCACAATAGTTCAAGGTTCTGGATTAAAAGCCAGGAGATTATCAGTTCCAGTCCCACGTGAGGCACGTAGTTAGGTGGATGACCTTTGGCCAAGCACTCTCTCTCAGACTTAGGAAGAAGACAAGAGCAAACCACTTTAGAAAAATATTGCCAAAGAACCTGCATAGATTTGTCCAAGGAGTCGTGAGGAGTCAAAACTGACTCAAAGGCATAAAAGAAAATAAACATTAAAATAATCAAACCATTTCAGTTTGACCTACAACAATACCATAAGACAAAACTGAAGAAAGCCAATGTTTCATCTGGTATCTTTTGAGAACCTATAGTCCCCTGATCTATTCCAAAGGTCAGTGTGTTTCCCCAGTCATTGCTTAATAAATCCTCTCCATCTTGGTCATACAGCTACAGTCAGGTCCAGAAATATTGGGACATCGACACAATTCTAACATCTTTGGCTCTATACACCACCACAATGGGTTTGGAATGAAACAAACAAAATGTGCATTAACTGAAGACTGTCAGATTTAATTTGAGGGTATGTACATCAAACTCAGGTGAAAGGTGTAG